TTAATTTAATCATTATATTAAAAAAAAAAGTCTCTATCTCTTATTTATTGACATAAGTATATTATTTTTCATTTAGTAATATTATTTTAAAAATATTATTAAATTATAAAATATTTAAATTGATTTTTAAAATATTCATCCATAATTATTATATAATATGTGCAAATATTTAATAAATTTTCAAAATTTCAAATGCATATATTTGAATATATATACAATTTAAAAAAAATTAATTCATATAATGCACAAATTTAAAGTCTATTATCCTAAGGTTAAGTGGTGAGAATGATAATGAAGGAAAATTTCCTCTCTTTCGAGACAATTTTTAGTTTTTTACTTTTACAAATTATTAAAAGAAGTAAAACTCTTCTTTTGGCATTTAAAAAATAAAAAATAATTATGATAGAATGTGATTTATATTTTTGTTTAAAAGAATTTTGAAACTATAATTATGATAAAAAGTTTCTTTTAAACTTATTCGAAAATTAAAGTTTTAATATTTTATATTAAAAATATTTCATAAAATAAAATAAAAAACTAAATCAAATAAATTATTATTTTTTTAAATAACTTTTGATTTTTAAATTCTAAAAATGTTACTAGATAATTATTTTACTTAAAAAAATATTTTATGAAAACAGTTTTAAAAACATATTTTTGTTTTTACAAATATGAAAATAAAATTAGTGAGATATATTTTATGCTTTTATTAATAATATATTATATTATATTATTATTTTGATAATTGTCATAATTATGGTTCATATTCTTTTATTGAAAATATTATTTTATATAAATTATTAACAAGTTTTTTTTCTATTTTATTCTTAAAAATATGTTTTTAAATTTGATTATTAATTTTATTTCCAAAATTAAGAAAAAAAAACTAAATTAAATAAAACACACTCTTAAAATTGTTTGATTAGTTTATTTATTGTTTAATTTTTTTTTAAAAAACATTTTTTTAAGAATAAATTTTTTTATAATCTTGAAAATTTGTTTTAAATTAACAACAACAGTGTAAAAAAAGCTAGAGAATGATTTTAATAATTTTAAAATAACTATGTAATCCAATGATTATTAGAAACTCAAATATTGTTAATAAAAAAAACAAAAGCACATTTCTAATAATTTTTTTAAAATTACAATTTGGTAATAGTTTTAAAAACTATTTTAAGAAAATAGTATTAACTAGATTTATTAATTTGTCAGGAACTAAATTATTGAAAAGTGTAAAAGAAAAAAATTATCATTTTTTTAAACCATCAAGATTTAAAGGTCAAATTAATTTTAATATAACAATTATTTTTATTATATGATAATATAATAAATTTTAATGTAAAAAATAATACCAAAATAATGTACATTATCATTGTAAATAACAATAATGATATAACATATATTAAAAAAATTAAATAATAGTAATAATAATAATAATAAGATGAAAATATAATAATAAATATTATTTAAAAATTACATAATTATTGTGAAATAAAAAAATAATATTATATGTTTTATAATTTTTTAAAACAATTAAAAAAATTAATATAATTTTTTTAAAATTAAATCAGTTTGATTAAAACATTTAACTGATTTTTATAGATTTTATTGATTTGTATCAAATTTTCTAATTTAATTAAAATTTGATTATAAACCACAAGAAACTATTGTTATTGCACCTGTTCAACAAATGGTATGATTTTCAAATAAGTGATTTTTATTATTAATCAGATCATGAATACCATTATCAAGCTGAATCAATTAATTAATCAGCCTCTCGCTTTTTTCAAATCCAAATTATAATTCAGACAATAAAATGTCATCAATAATATATTTTAAAAAATTATTTATACAAAAAATTTGATAATAAAAAAATAAGTTTTATAAAATAATATAAATAATTTTTATTTATTTATTTACTTATCTGTTCCTTTTTTATTTTGTTTGTTATTATTTTTTTTGTAATTTATTTTTTATTGTCTGTTACATTTTCTTAAAATTTGATAAAATGAATTTTGTATTATTTTTAAAAAATATTTTAATGATTCAAAAATATTATATTTGAAAAAAAAATTATACGATAAACTTGAGATATTAAAATATTATTATTATGTTATAAATATTAAAAATATATTTATTTTTAAGTAAAATTTTATAAATATTTTTTAAAAATTATCCGATTAATTATTATAATTCATCGTAATGATAAGTATATTAAATTATTAAGTAAAAAAATATATTTAATTTATAAATATTTACTTTTTTTAATTAGATGATTGATTATTTTTATGATAAAATAATTTTAAATAATTTATTTATTTGTAAATAAAATTATTTACTGTGTTAATAAATAATTTTTATTATTATTGTAATTTAAAATAAAATAAAAAATTAGTTTTATTGTTAATTTTAGAATATATTTTTTAACATATTTTTTTTAATTTTAATATAATAATTTAATTAAAAAATCGTGAAAGATGACAGAAAAAAAGAGAGGTGAAATAGAAAAGAAAAATAAAATAAAAATAAACAGTGAATGAAATAGATAAGAGAAATCTGCATACAAAAAATAAACCAGTAAATAAATTAACAGAAAATTTATCTAAGTAATTTTTTTAAATTCATATTATTTATAAAATTGATTCAAATATTTGATAACATATTTAAATAAAAAATTAATTATTTTAAATAATTTTTTATTAAAACAATTTATAATAAATTATTTTAATTTGTAATAATTACATAATTTTAATATAATTATTTTATTAAATTATTTTGTACAAATAAAATAAAATAAATGAAATGAGGATCAGATAAATGAAAAGAGAACTAGTTTATTTAATTTAAAAAAATTGTATTAAAATAAAATAAATAATAATTTATTTAAAAATAATATATAATAACAAATTTATGTTTTAAATTTTTTATATAAATTAAGAAGAGACCTTTGAACCTTTTTTTCTAATATTTAATAAAAAAAATAAATTGACAACTGAATATCAATAAACATACATTTAATAACTTCCTTTATTAATGAAAAATAATATTCTTTAATTAATTTTATTTTAAATAATCACTTTATTCATATGTGAAAATATCACTAATCATATTTAATTCAAGAAACCTCCCCCACCACGTGTTTCTGCCAACGCTCTTTTGATAAGATAGCTTCTGCGTGAATCTTTTATATTCATAAATTATATTTTAACTCGAAATATATATTTTTTATCTCGTTTTAAAAATATATTTATAATAACAAATAGTGTTATCTTCTTAAAATGGTAATTATTTAAAATTTAAATCACATTTAATCTTTTTATTGATTCATGCCGTCAAATTGATCCCATTCTACTAAAAGACGTGAATGTTTTATTAAAAAAAATCGTATACATCTAAAATACGTTACCCGTGATAACTAGATTTTTTGAAATGAATAAAACATTTTTGTAAAAGAACATGAAAAAAAAGTCAAAACAAAAAGTAACTTAATTAAACAAAAATACACTGATACATTGACAATCATCAAAAATAATTATTATAATATTCAAAATCGGTTGTTTAATAGATATTTATGAAAGAGAAGTTGTGAATAATCTAGTGTTTTCCGGAGATATATGCATAAATATATATATATATATATATATATATATATATATATATATATATATATATATATATATATATATATATATATATATATATATATATATATATATATATATATATATATAGCCTTACCTGCATTTGTAAACAGCAGAGAAAAAGCGTCTCTGGTGAATCCTGGTTGATCCCAAAATCTACAAGCTGGGATCAGCCACTCGTGAATCAACTAATTGATCACAATACCTTTCTCACTGTTAATTAACTGCTAGCTCCAGCTTTTTTTATTCATTTAGTCACGCTTAACACATAGTGGGCTCTTCACTGTCTGGTACGTACCCAAATAAAAGGAAGAAGCAAGGCATCTTCTTTCAGCATTCACACCTCTGCCCTCTTAATTCTACTTCTCAATTCTCTATGTGAGTATTTCTACTCATTTGTTGCTTATTTGTTGTACTGTTTTGTTTCCTTTCTAACTGGGAATCATTAATCATTTTTTTTTCTTTGTTAAAGTTTTCAACTTTTTGGAAATTTCGTGAAAATTGAAGTAAGGAATCTGGGTAGTGGCTAGGTTACTGGAGGGGTTATCAATTCGCTCCTTGCCTCTTGGAGTTGATTTTTTAACTGTTTTTGGGAAGGAAGAATAATCATGGCAAAATACTGTGTTGCTTTAACACTCTTTCCTCTAACTGTCCTTTTTGGTTTCTGAATTTTGGTGATCTTACTGTTGTTTCTTGAGAATATTAAGTAGTCATTCCTTTTACCCTGTTCCGAGTAACTGATTCAGTTGAGAACTTGAGATGCTTCAGATTAAATTCCCATTGTTTTTCAAAAAATTAAGAGGACTACTACCTGTATATACTCCTTTATCTATCATTCTAATGTACCCAGGTACCAGAATCAACTCTAGTGATTTTTTTTTTCTGCTGGAAGGGAGTGATTTCATTGTATCTGTTGCTGTTAATTACTTCGGTCATGTCCGGTTACATTTACCTACAAACACTTGTGTGAGAAGAAAATATAAATGAAGTTTCTTCCATAAGTTAAAAGTAGTTCATGCATTGAAGTTTCTCTTATAGCTTTTCCGAAGGTTGTTTTTAACTTCTTATAAGAGATGTTTTATCATTCATCTTCTCATTTGCTTCTCCTATAAATACTCGTTGGAAAGTTTATCTAGACATGGTTTTAGAATGCCTTTCTTTCTTTTCTTTTTTCTTCTCCCTAATTTTATGCATCAATAGTATGTCTTACCGTTTTCCTCATCACTCATGCGTCTAGTCTTAACTGAGTGTATAGAAAGTAAAGAAATACCATGAACTCATATTTACCAAAGCAAGTATAAGTAACTCGTCAGTTTCGTAATGTTAACAGATTTCTCGAGCCATAGTTGGTGATTCACTATGGCACCGCCGCCAGATACTACTGCCCCTAGTTATTGGTTGAATTGGAGGTTCTTCCTCTGTGCACTCTTTATTTTAATGACTATGGGTCTAGCATCATTTTTGATATGGAAGTATGAAGAATTGAATAAATCAAGGACTGAGAGAAGAGAAAGGCAAAGGGAAACAGCTGGGTCTCTTTATGAGGACGAAGCATGGAATACGTGTCTTAAAAGAATTCATCCTGCTTGGCTGCTTGCTTACAGGATATTTTCTTTTATTGTGCTTTTGTCTTTGCTCACTACCAATGCGGTTGCCGATGGAGGTGGCATATTTTACTTCTACACGCAGTAAGCTACATTGCACATATCCTGTCTATTATAGTATTTATGCAACTATTTAGTTATCTTGTTTATAAACTATCTAAAAGTATTATTTGTAAAACAAATAAAAATATATTGATGCTTCATAGGTTTTACAAATAAAAATATATTGATGCTTCATAGCTTTTACAAATAAAAGCATTGACACTTCATAGGTTTGGATACTTCATTGACACGTATTAGTGAAGTATCTCACACAATACATATCAGATACGGATACGTGAAACAAATTGAAGTATCAGTGCTTTATATGCTTTCTTTATCAAAAAAGATATTAGAAAATGAATGTTTATAGTTAGTTTGCACTTATTGTTTTATTGCTATCTCAAGAGCAAGATAGAGACTAATATATTCATTTAATTACTAGTTATTTACAGAACTAGTGTCAGGGTTTTTGAAGAACATTTTCTTAGGTGAAAGTTCTCTGGATAGAGTGATCCTTTGTAGGATTTGCTACAACTATTGGACAACTTCTTCTGTAATTTCCTATTTAATTAGTGTGCTTAAATCTCAAATTCAGTTTTACTATGCCAACAAAACTGGGTTGGATTCAATTCTTCTCTTCCTTCTCTCTATCCTCAATCATGTCATCCCTTTAAACTGCAGCCAACTAAGTAAAACAATGACATTTCTCTCTTAGTAAACCTTTTATGTGCATAATTGGAAGTATTTTGTTGGGGGATAGCATTGGGGACATAAGATTTGAGTTCATCTCATACATCAACAATGAAGAGTGTTGGATAATGTGGAAGCACTTATATATTGAATGTGACGTAGTACTCCGGACTCTGTGTTGAAAGAGTGTATGTTTGAAGAAAATGGTCCAATGATTGACTTTTATGATAAAACAACACTGTATAAATCTCCCCTCCTGATTAGTTGGTTAGAATTATGCTGATTACATCTTTGTTGCTGAACAGGTGGACATTTACTTTGGTCACTATTTACTTTGGGGTAATACTTCTCATCTCTAACTCATCTTCTCAAATTATGATAATAAAAGTGCATTTTCTTTTGATTTTTTGGGTTTAGGGTGGTATTTGTTCTAGTTGGGTTATAATACATTCTGTAAGTTACAGGTTCATATGCTCTACTTAGGAATTGAACCTATCAGTCAACTTTCTTTTTATCTGTTTTCATTTTATTCCTTCTCCAAATGACATCTGCTCTCGATTTCACTTTTAGTTTGGATCATGTGTCTCCATATATGGATGTTTCTATAAACACAAAACAATTGATGGCAGCACAGTCAATCATGCACATTTGGATGCTGAAGAAGGCACTTATGTAGCTCCTACACTTGATGATAATCCCGAATTGCCTAGCCTGTATAAGAATTCCAATACCTCTCAGGAGCCTCAAACTCGGAATACTGCTGGTGCATGGGGTTATATTTTTCAAATAATTTTTCAGGTAATTTTTTTTTTCTAGATTTTATTGGAGTCCATATTTTGTGCATTATATTTTTTTAGCTAATATAGTGATGTATTTTAAAAATTGCTAATTGACATTTAATTTAACCCTAATTTTTGTTTTGTAAGGATATCCAACTGAGATTTTTCAATTAAAATTAGTTTTGTGAAAGAAAGTGGGTACAATTGGTGATGGCAGCCTTAAAGCAGACAAAAGATATGTGAATTTGAAAAGTTATTGGGGAACTTCATTGCTATTGAATGTTTAGCTTGAAAAGGTTTTTCTCTTTGAGATGGAGAAAGCATGGGTTGCCAAATAATATTTTTTAACTGGGCTTTTCCAAGGAGCCAAAGAGAATTTATCCAAAATGAATCATGACATAACATTTTATCATAGTCAGGAGAGTTTTTTGAGAAACATGTTGTATTGGCAGTTAGGTAGTCAAGATCCTGTTTGTATGTATTGTTGTCTCTACCAAACATTTTTTATGGGACAAAATTGTTTGTACACCCTCTCTATGTTGTTTTACTGCTATATGTTATTGGCAGTAGTAAGTAAGCTATCCTTATCCAGATAGCTAATTAATCACTTAAATTCTAGTTTAAAATTCCAGTTAACTATTTGATTAAAGAGAAGAGTGTTATTAAAATGTATATCTGCAGATAAATGTTTCCACAGCGATCATAAGTTCGTAAAAGCCTGTGATGCAATCTCTCTGTTAGAGTTTTGTTTTTTATAATGTCTTCTTGTTCACCTTGCTCCTTTTCTGCTACTTAATTAGACACTATTGCATTTTGATTATCATTGTGCTGTCAACTGGTTGAACTCAGAAGGCAATCTGCTGATATGTTTTCATTTTCCTTTTAAAATATAGACTTGTGGAGGTGCCGTAGTGCTCACTGACGTTGTATTCTGGCTTATCCTTTATCCATCTATGACAAAGAAAGATGTCCGTCTGAAATTTGTGAGTATTGTTGATCTTGTCCCTGGTCTGCCATTTAACTTTTTGGTGCAGAAAGTTATACTTAATATACGAAATAAAAGTTTTGGAGAATGTTTGGCTTTTCCTTTCTAGTTTCATTTTTGTTAGAACATGTCTGGAAATTTCCATTGAATATTGATGTTACTAATGAGTCTGTTCTCCAGTTGCAAGTTTTCAACTCATTATATCAGCTGTATCATATTTTCCTTGAATGTGAGGGAACGTTTTGCTAAAAAAATCTTGAAAATTTTGCTTCTAGCTGTTCTGTGTTTTACATGTAATTAACATCAAAGCATTTGTGCCTTCCTGCATATACTAAACATTGATTACCACACGAAATATGTTATTCATAGATGTGATTCTTTGGAATACCTTAATTATGATAAAGCCAAAATGAAGTAAAGAAATGTGAACGGAATTTATGATGTTAAAAATTGTTCACTCTTGGTTCTAACAGAATAGGCTGGTCCTCTGCTACTCACAAGATATTTTCATAATGAATCCTAATAATTGCACTTTTCAATTGCAGATGGATGTTTCTCTACACTCCCTAAACGCTGTATTCCTCCTCGGAGAAGCATTATTGAACTGCATGGTGATTTTTTATTTTGTTTTATCCGTTTGCTTTTATCATTTCTCATTACATACCAACTTCAAATTTATGTCTACTTCTTAACACATGCAGAGGTTTCCAGTGTTTCGATTTGCATATTTTATTTTGTGGACGGCTATATTTGTGATTTTTCAGTGGATCATCCATGCTTGTGTTTCATTATGGTAAAAACGAGTATCCCATTTTTCCGATTGTTGCCTCTCACTTGACATAGTCCTGTTGTTCATAATTTTCTAACCGTTGTTCCAGGTGGCCTTATCCTTTCCTTGACTTGTCATCCCCATATGCAGCCTTATGGTATGTTCTTAAATTCAGTGCATCATCACCACTCGAATAGAATCTGTATTTAATTTCCACACTAACTGACATAAGATTATCCCTTCATATGTGAAATAATGTGTAACAAGTCCCACATTGGGGAGGTCTCCTTACCAGGGAGGCCTTATAAGGTAGGAGGTTCTCCAACCTCTTGAGCTAGCTTTTGAGGGATGGTTCCCCTCTTAGCCTTATGGTTGTTTCAATGGTGCTTTCATTGAGAGCCAGCCAACTCGAGAAGGGCTACCCACGGAGGGTTCTGACCGCCGGAGGGTTCTGACCACTGGAGGGTTCTGACCGGTAAGAAGGCCGAGTAAAGTGCTAGTGAGTGAAGTGCCGGTGAGTGAAGTGTCGTGGAGTGCAGCCATCGAGGACGCTGGCTTTCGAACGGGGTGGTATTGTAACAAGTCCCACATTGGGGAGGTCTCCTTACCAGGGAGGCCTTATAAGGTAGGAGGTTCTCCAACCTCTTGAGCTAGCTTTTGAGGGATGGTTCCCCTCTTAGCCTTATGGTTGTTTCATAATGTTGCTTATCAGGGGAGTTGCTACGAAACTAGAAATTTTGTTATGAAATTTTGTTCTACGTCTTCAAATATGACAATTTTAAACTTGAAGGAATATATCATGTAACAGTGCATGCATATGTTATATGTTATATGTTACTAAATGCAGCAATAGGTAATGAAATTAATTTAGGCTTTCAGATGATGATATTTAACTCTTGTTCTCTTGTTGTACTTTTAGGTACACAGGTGTGGGTGTAATGCACATTCCATGCTATGCAGTCTTTGCTTTGATAGTGAAGTTGAAACACTTGTGGTTGTCAAAATTGTTTCCTGGGTCCTGTCAATTTGTAAGGTGATGATGATACATACATTCATGATTAGTCATAGGAGAAGAGCTACCTTCAACATTGTTAAAGCAGATTTTAACTTGGAAGATCAGATTAGGAACCCCCTCCCCCCAAAAGTTTTTTGATTTATGTGACATGTTTTGTATTTGCTACTTCAAATTGAATTCATGAAGCTTCTCTGCTCTAACTATGTTTATGATAGCTTCCATCCGAGATAAGCCTTCTACTATATTCTCCTACGTTGATCAAATCAAACCAAGTAAAAAACTATTATGTCACAAAAAGTGCAGTTTTTTTTAAATTCAGTAAGGATATTAATAGCGTTCTGCGTAGCTATTTCAATATGATTGTTCAGAATAATTACACGAGTTGAATTTCTATGTGATCCTAATATAAAAACAATTACTTTGTTAATTAATAAAAAATTATAATAAAGAGGGCTTTCAAATTAGTTATTATAAAAATTAATAAATTTATTATGTGATAATTTGGGATTAGATTTTTCTTTTGATTGACTTTTCTTATTATGATAACAATAAATAGAAAATTATTAATAGTAATAAATAACATTAATAAATAAATATTTTTTTCTGAATTAAACAATCTTATTATTACTAGTGAATGTTCCATACCAATAATAGTTATTAAAAAAATTTATTTTTACTGTATTCGTCTTCTATTTCTTTTCAAACAAATAATATTTATTTCAACCTTTTTTCCCTTTTTCCTTTTCTTTATCACTTCTTTGTTATTTTATTTCTTTTCTTACTGTCAGTGTGAACAGTTCACTGTATAGAATATAAAGTTGCTGAAAAAAAAAATCAGTTAGATATCATATGTATAACCAAAAAAAGTATAATATCTACATGCTAATTGGTACTTTGATAAAAAATAAATAAGTGCGAGTTAATAAAATGAAAAAACAATTAATATTAATAAAATGTTTGATGTATGAGAGTATCCATATATTCTAAAGAGGATGAAGGTTCATGGTATTACTGGATGAGTAAGTGCATGACAAAGAAAAGTATTCAAAATCCAACTTCAAGCATTCTCCAGATGCCTCCTAGAAGTTTGTATTGGATGAGAAAACAAGGTATATATATAAAACAAGAATTGTGATTAATGGATAGAAGGAAGAACCGGGTCCATGTTTAAGGTGTAACCTAAAATTACGAACCAACCATGCATTATTGAGCTCAGTTCAGGATTTTTGGGGCCCTACCACATCCTTATGCATGTCTTTTCATCAACACAAATTAATTACTTTATCCTTTAATTAGTTACCAGTAATAACATGAGCGGCATCTACATGATTGCATCATTGGGTAAATGATATGTCTGAGTTGCATTTTCCCTCTATAATAACACCCTATTAACTTTTCTTGGTTATGTCACCCAACATAAAAAGTAAATGTGACCAAAGGAGAAAAATAGCCAAAAGGATCTGAAATAAAGTTGGGGCATGGGGCCCCAAAAGTCTCTGGAGCAGAGGCAGAGGAATAGATAAAAAGTAAATAAAGTAAAAACAAGTACGATACAATTAGATGAAAAAAATATAATCCGAACAATATACCAGAACTTACACTGAAGAAAATCTTCATTGATTCCTACTCCAAACACCCCAATCCCCACCCCAAAACCCCTTTCTCTTTTAAGCCTCTACTTATCCAGACAGCATTAGGAAGAAGTCACAGATAAGATAAAAAAACACTACCGATGCATTAACTCAACAAAAATCCGTGAGCTCTAAACGCAATATCCAGCTATTGCTTTACATGTTCCCTGATAAACTCTTCCAGCTGAGATATTTCCCCAGTTAAACCAGAGGCATCGGCAGTTGTTACTTTGTTAGAGCACTGGGTAAAAGAAAATGTCTCACCCGGTATCCCCAGGGTGAACTCATTTGCAATGTCAGCATCTGATATCGCACTTCTTGATGCCCGTAATTTGTCTCTGGAAAATCATGACAGTGAAATCATGAAAAGAATCAGGTTATATCATTACTAAAAATAAATAAAATTGTATATTTTCAAAATCAAAACAAACCAATCAGTTGATTGAGGGCGTAAATATAAGTATACGAATGAAGCTTAAAGATTAGAGGAATTAAAATGAAATCTTCAAAATGAACCAATCAACAATAACAGCATTGACATATGAATGCGTATGTGTCCCATCCAACACAGATGGAGCGCACAAATATTATTAAATGGATAATAAAACGAATTCATAAGGTAGTTGCTGATTGATAAAGTGAGTAGAGATAAAAGATTTGGGAGTTGAAGGCATACATTTCCTTCTCCATCTGTCTCCGGATAAACTCTTTCGTATGAGCAGTCACTTTGTCTGTTTTGTTGCAGAGAATAAGCACTGGAATCTTCTTCCTCACAACACTTCCTTTTGTCAATAGATCATATAGGTACCTGAAAATAAAGAGATAATGTTAGTATCCTTGTATCTTCGGTGCCGACATCATCCACAGGACTAGTGGAAAGTAGTCGGATATGTAATATTATAATGCTAAAATATCTTGTGTATGATGATATGTTCCTTCATGCCTACTAGTGCTTTCTAGTATTGACAAAAAGTGCTAATTAGTATCAAGATGATAATCTAGCAACTAAATGGAGGAAGGCATTACTCTGAAGCAGCTCGACAGTTTGGTAAAAAGTCCAAAGCGTCAACCACAAAAACTATCCCAGCTGCTTGAGGCAAGTACTCGTCCAGTTTGGGTCGAAGCCGAGAATGGCCAGGAACATCAACAATATGAACAGGTTTTATCTTGCCCTTCTGTAAAAAAAAAAATATATAAGACAATATTTGCTCTATTCTATTGTCTGATTACACAATCAACAAAAAAACTATATAACAGAAAATTTCAACTACTATTACATCCCAAACAAGTTTCTTCTAACAACAAAAATGTAAATATCCTCTTTTACGGAGATGAGAAACACAACACAATGTGTTGCATCTTAATAAAAACGCTACACTACATTCAAGCAAGTAGTCAAGTGTGAGAGGCTAAAATGTTACCCTTGTTTTCTCATTGTTAAGAATAAAAGTGCCTTCGTTAGGCTCCATTGATGTAACAGTACCCTGATGAGTAGAGCCATCCCTAAGCTGCAGCAGGCATGAAAAGTGAATCAAGATTATATCCCAAAATGTAATACCACTGCTAATGTTATAAAATGTTTTCAATTTTGAACAATTCTTGGATGAGTATAACACTTACAGGCACAAGAAAATAAAAAACTCAAGATGCATTGAAGTAATAAGTAAAAACACAAAATGCGATTAAGTCTCTGCTTAAAACTTTAAAATGTTACGACAATGTCCTCAAACAAGCTCCATTTGTTAAAAATTAACTACAATTGTTTCCTTTGTTGAATTTTCATAATTGTAATTTACATCTAACAAAGGCACCAGGCAGTACATGTAAAAAACATGTCAACAACGACATAACCTGACCCTCAGTCCCTCCTCACCAAGGGCAAAATCTATGGAAACAGAATTGATTTCAGTTTCAGATTAACAGAAACACACCAAACTACACGGATTAATCCCTTACGGTACTGAGGTTCATTTAAGGATCTGACCCCTCCCAAATGTCTCAACAAATACTTTTCATACACACGAACTTGAAAATCAAAACCCTAACTACATACTCAAAGGACAAAGGCTATCTATCAACCATCTCACACCATGCTGGTATCATTACTAAAATTTACAACTAATAATGAAGACACCAGGCTATGCTTTTAAAAAACATGACACCATTGACCTAATCTAACCCTCATTCCCTCTTCACCGAGAGCAAAACCTAAAAATACTTATTTTGCTTCTAATTTTTAGAATAACCAAATCAAACCAAAGCCACGAACTAAACTAAACCGAGGTCGAGGATTAAAATCAGAAGAAATGAACTCGATAATTGTGATTAGGGGGCAAATACCTGATAGAAAATAACAGTTTTTCCGCTCCCACTGAGCCCGGTCAACACAATGGTGTTTGACTTTGAGCGCTTCAACAACCGTACTACAAACACACCCAACAATGAACACGAATAATCGAGTAGAAGCATAATAATTAGACAATAACGATAACTCACTCAAGAGAAGAAGCAGCGTTGTAAACATCACGATGGCAGCAGCAGCGTAGAGCTGATTCGGTGGAACCTCGCGAAGATGATCCATGGCCAGATGCGACAAGTGAGAAAGTTGTTCCTTCCACTGCTCCAACTCTTCCATAGCGAACTCGAGTTTTTGGCGTTTGGTTTCAATGTTACGTTCGATGTTCGAAGAGAGAGAAGCCCCGTGAGGCTCCGGATTCTCGTCAAAGAGGATGCAGAGACGAGTTTTACCGCCGCAGACGGCGGTTTTCGACGGCGCTCTGAATTTTCCGATTTGCGGATCTGGCGTGTCAAGTGTCGAATAGGAATTGAGTCTTTCAAATATAATAATATTAAACGACAAAGAAGGGGTGTCGTTTCTAGCATGTTTTCATATCTTTCTATATATATATATATATATATATATATATATATATATATATATATATATATATATATATATATATATATATATATATATATATATTGTTAAATATTAAATTTAATATAAAAATTAAAATCACCTATCTTATAATTTAATTATTTTATAAATTTTATGATAATGAAATAATATTCTTATTAAATTTAAGTATATAAAAATTACATATTCTTAAAATAAAAAAAATAGCTTTATTATTTTAAAGTATAGAGAAAATTTTGAAAATAATACACCCTTAATTATTATGAAAAAGATACTAGTATAGCATGTTCTTTTTTGTTTTACTTTTAGCAAAAGTAAACAAATCTCATTTTGATTTTCATTTTACAATATCAAGGAAGCATTTATAAAAAAAGAGGATATTATTGATAAAATATTAAATATTTTCTATCGTAATTATAAAGTGTGAAAATACAAAATATAAATAAAAAATATTTTACAATATTTTTTAAAAAGAGACATACAAAAATACAAAATATAAATAAAAAATATTTTTACAATATTTTTTAAAAAGAGACATACAAAAATATATTAAATCTTTTTAACAGCTTATATAAACCTGAAATATTAATTACAAATTTATTGATTCTTGTGTTGGAAACATATAATATTAAATGTCAAAGAAAATAAAACGAAGAGAATAATTTTTAATATTAGTACAGGATAATTTGAATGTTTATTTTACTCTTGAGTTTTTATAGTACTACTATCCTACATATTTTATCTTCAAAAGAATTATTAACATAAATCGAAGATACTAAAAAAATGTATTGGTGAGTGAACTATAGAAGCATTGAAAATTGATTAAAATCGTCTAATTGTTCATATTTGAAGAGTGAAAAATATAAGGTTGCCATGGTTGATTTAACTTTTTCTCCAGGTCGCATGTTAGGGGTGGGTGGTGACACATTTTCCACATTAGAGATTTAGCAAATAAAAACTAAACCCTGATTTATATTGACTTCAAAAGAGGAGGGCTTCTTCAAATTTATCATCTTGTGTTTCATCGTAATTTTTTTTTTGAATTTTTCTCACATCAAAACTTCTGATCCATGCATACATGTCAAGTGGGTTGGCTTATGTTTATGTATCGTCTTCAAATTGTCTGTGATAATGTTACACGACAAAATCAAATTCGTTTAAGATTTAATAATATTTAGGTTTAAGATTTAACTATATATAATAATATTCTTAGAAAGTAACAACTTTTTCAAAAAAAGTTATAAATACTTTTAAGTTTTTTAGGAGACAAAATCAAAATAACATTTACATGATAATGTTCTTCGTTTTTTATTTAACGGATGTAATTTTATTTTATTTATTAATTTTCCGTTCAATTTGAGGCTATTTTGTTATTTGAATAAACTAAATTTAATAAATAAAAAATAAAATAAAGATACTAATTAGTGTAACTACACTATAAATCACTACTATAATGATGTCTTCGCAAACTAGTAAACAAGTAAATAACAACATCTATTTTACATTATACTACTGTAATTGTAACATATATTGAAATTTCAGTTCAATAACGGAACTTCAAAATATAGTAACATAATTTATTTATATATTATACATGTAAAAGTAACTCCCTCGAAGCTATCCCACTGAACTATCCATGTTGTCCAGTAGTCACATCATCATCTCTCAACTCCTGATCTGCTCCCACATAAAAGTGATCATTGCAGTCCCATCAACATGGAAAAATAGGGGTAAGTATTAAATCATTCGATATAATAAAACAGATATAGAAGTAATAATTATATATTATGATCAATTACGAAATTATCAACACACTAAGACACCTTCCGGAAGTATACCCTAACTATGCCCGAACTCAGAGGCTATCATCTGTGGGCACATTGTGATCGGTACCCGCAATACCATTCTGACCACCCTCCACACAGAGTAGGATTATTGGTGCCCTTCATCACTCATACTGGAGTACCCCTCCAAGCGCGCCACCAGTCATCCCCCATCGACTTCTCACCACCTGATCTCGTAGTCTACCTGACCCGACCAATCAGTGAAGTTTGGGACCTCATTTAGAATCATCCGACATAGTTATTACACTAATGTACTCTGTACCACCCTGGGTACCATTCAAACATAACAAAATTTATTCACATTTGCCAGATTCTGGACCACCTGTCCTCACGACTCATTCGGGTCAATAAAAATAGGATTTGACTGATTCTGACACCAACCATCCGGCTCAGTCTAGCCAATATATAACGTCTCAGGACTGATTTTGGGCGTCAGCCCTCAGGCTCAGTCTGACCCACACACGTCACAACACACTACTTTCATTCTCTCTCTCTTCATATATATATTTTTCTAAAATCATTTCCGAAATCATTTCCGAAATATTTTCGAAACTATTTCCGAAACTATTTTCGAAATCATTAAATTACTATTTTGCCCTTAATCTTTTCTTAAAATTCCATGTATGTCCCTAAATGACTATTTTACCCTTGGACATTTTTGAAAATTCCTTCCATGTCCCGAAAATGACTATTTTACCCTTGAACAATTTTGAAAATTTCATTTATGTCCCTAGGATGTAAAATGACTATTTTGCCCTTGAACATTTTCAAAAATTACATTTATGTCCCTAGGATGAAAAATAACTATTTTACCCTTGATCTTTTTTAAAAATCTCCACCATATCCCTTTCTTCTTCTTTTGCTCCGGTAATAGTATCGAAATTTGCAGATTTCAAATTACTCAGTTTTAGACAACCAAACTAGTCCTAAATCGAAATTAAACATGAATTATATCTAATTTAAGTTGAAAACAGCAATTTTACTATATAATTCATCCTTAATTTCAAGAATTTAATCAATATTTAAAACTTTGCAAAATATAAATAGTAATCACCTACAGTACGCCATTTTCAAAATCCAGGTTTCAAATTTCTCAGTTTCAATCACCCAAATTAGTTCCAAATCAAAATTAAACCATAAACATGTTCAATTTAAGTTAAAAACAACAATTTTATTATATGATTCATCCTTAATTTCAAGAATTTCAGAAACTTTCAAACAGTGAACAGTTTTTCAAAATCATACATTCAAATAATTCATATCTCTACTCCTATTCCTTATTCACAGAGTACCCAACAATTCAATTTCATTATATTGAATGAATTAAATTTCCCCTTACTTGGTATGGTATTTCTACCGAAGCTTTCCCACTTAATTCAAGCTCTCTCCCGTTTCACCGAGATCCTGCACGTTGCTTGAAATTTAGACAATAGAAGAAGAAGGATGAAAGAAAAATTTTGATTCTCCTCCTCCCCGCTTCAAGTATGCATATATAAGAAAAAAATTTACTGTGCATGAGGAAAACTTCATTACGAAGTTTTCTTGCACAGAAATATTAATATAATATTAAAATAAAGCATACGTCACAATTAGGACATTTTTTTTTAATTTAATAATTTTATGTTTATTTTTCTTATAGATAGAATTAAAATCAATAATATCTCAAAAGTGATAATCAAATATGTTTAGTGTGAAATTGAGATTAAAGTCTCAAGTTTTTTTATATTTCTTAGTTATTGATTAAAAATTAATATTTTAAAAATTAAATTGACGAAGACAGGAATTAAGATTTTAAAAAATTCCCTAAATTTAATAAAATAATATTTTTTAAGCATAATAAGTATATATTATATTTATTAATAATAACATTTTCTTAAATAAAGAAAAATAAAAAAGTCGTAATTAAAGTAAGTTACAATGAATGTTTAAATATAAAATATATTAAAAAGTGGACGATGATGAATAATAATTAAAATAAGATAAAAATATAATAAAATAATTAATATTTAAAATTGAGATAATAAATATGAAAAAAATTAAAATATATTATATTTTTTTATAAAATAATTATATTGAAAATATTTATCTTTAAAATTTTATTTTATTTTATTTTTATCAAAATTCATTCAATTTTAAAATTTTACAAACTTTTTTAGTTTTGTATTGTTTTTTCTGATTTCATTTATATTTAATTAGAATAAAATACTTATTTTTTATTAAATGGATGGATCTGATTTTAAAAATAATTGAAACTATATTTTAATATTATTATAATATAAAATACGAGTTCATATGCATCTAAATTTAGTTAGAAAATTACATCATTTTATGTTTAACTCATAAAAGATTTTACCATTAGGTTATATATTTTATATTAATTCTGTATTTTTTTTCACGTTTCTTATCCATTGAGCCAAAGACAATCTTATTACTAAAATTTTCGTAGTAAGTTTATATTACGTATTTTTATATTTTACTAAAAATTAATAGTCAATACTAATAAGGTAATATTAGCATAATCAACAACCTAACCTATCATAATTAAATAAGTCTGATTAATGGAAGATAGTATTGATTTTACTTTTAATCATCTATTTGTAATTAGTCATATATTTGTCCTCTTGTCCCCAATATTACCATTAGAGATCAATTAAATTGCCCCCAGAAACACAAAGTAAATCACTCAACTTATCTGTAACAAAGATCTCATTCAAATTAATAAATTCCACTTTAGTAATCTACATATATGGATTTTTTTTTCTAGTGAAAATAAATAATTTTTAATGACGCTTTGAGATACTTTGATGTAAAAAAAGAAAAAAAAACATTTTTACAAAAATTTAAAGGATATCAAAGTTTCATTCTTAAAACTGTAATATTTTTTCTTTATTCATTTTCATTTTACATATATGTTTTCTTTCTTCCATTTTATTTTTTTCAATAATATTCAAGTTATTTGAAAAAAATTCATTTAAAAGAAAAAAGAGCTTTTTTTATAAATTTAAATTACTTTAAGTAATTTGTAGTACTTTTTTATTTATAAAATTTGTTTTTTAATTAATACATGAGTTAGTTTTAAGTTATAGAAATTAATTATATTTTTCTATATTATTTGTTTTTTTCTTGTAATTATATAGAAGTTTTCTTTTACTGAATTTTGCCATTCATACATAGGACGCTAGAAGATGTGATGTTGAATGAAAGCTGAAGCTGAAGACTTTGGTCCAAAGGAAGGAGGAGTAGGTGGGTAACCCTTCATGTGTATGCCTTCTTCTTGCCTAATCAGTCTTTTGGTTCTACCTCACACTTCACCAACCCAACCACCTAATCATTTTCTTTTTCACCTTCTCGTTCTTCTCCAACACAAATTAAATTAATCAAATCCTTCACTATATATACATCCATCGCATACTCTCGCCATTCGTTCACTCCTTCGTTAGATCTAACAACTCACGTCACCCTTTTCCTCATCTAACGGTAATTCCCAGCCATTATTCTTCTTCATACCTTCCTCCATCTTTCTGCATGTTCCGAGGCTTAAAGCTTCGATTTTTATCTCATTTTTTAATCCCCGGAAGCGAATTTGAGATGGGGTCTTTCTGATTTTTATTCTGATGGGATTTTGGTGTTTGAATTTTTTGTATGTGTGGTTGTGGTTGTTCAGATCTGTTTTGAGTTATGATGAATCATTGATGATTGGGTTTTTGTTGATTAAATAGAGTAAGAAAAATGGCGCGCAAGAAGATCAGAGAGTACGACTCCAAGAGGTTGTTGAAGGAGCACTTTAAGAGACTCTCTGGCAAGGAGTTGCCGATCAAGTCTGCACAAGTGCGTAATCTTATCATGAGTGAATTAGAATGAAGTGTAAACGTTAATTTGTATCACATAAGATCTATGATCATACTTTTTATAAAACTTAACAAATTTACCAGATGAGTTGTGATTGAATGACTTCACTTATTTAGTACTTTTTCTACTTTAGAACGAGAATGCATGTGAAAAAAAATCTAGTTTGTAGAAATCAATAGTCTCCTACATTAATTTTCACATTCTGTCTACGTAAATTAATTTCATTTATAATGTGACTTTAGTAGATAGGTTGTTTGGAGGACAGTGGAAAAATCTTTTCAACGTTTGTACATTCTAATTAAATTCATAATATTTTATCATTCTCCGAGTCTCTCATGTAACATGATGCATGTCAAACTTGGGTCATAATAAGTGAATTTGTTTCTGTTTGTCTCAAGATTAATGCATCAACTGATTTCACTGAGCTACAAGAGAAGGAACCTTGGCTTTCATCTTCTAAATTGGTCGTGAAACCTGACATGTTATTTGGAAAGCGTGGCAAAAGCGGTTTGGTTGCTTTGAATTTGGATTTTGCACAGGTTGTTTCATTTGTTAAAGAACGTCTTGGAAAAGAGGTGCTTTACTCTTGGGATTTTCCCTCTTTATTTTTCCGTTGTACGGAGAGTTCCCTTTTTCACCCTTGATTTATTTAGACATGTTTTCTCTAATATATAGGTCGAGATGAGTGGATGCAAAGGACCCATAACAACTTTCATCGTTGAACCTTTCATCCCACACAATGAAGAGTTTTACCTTAACATTGTCTCTGAGAGACTTGGGAACAGCATAAGCTTTTCTGAATGTGGAGGAATTGAAATTGAAGATAACTGGGAGAAGGTACTACACTACTACAATGCATGTTTTTCATCTTACATATTAAATACTCTATTTTGTGCTGTAAATTTTTCCCTTAAGTTACAAAGTGGCTTATTCATATTTCAGGTTAAGACTGTATTTGTTCCAACTGGAGTGTCTATTACATCAGAAATTGTTGCCCCGCTTGTTGCAACCCTTCCCTTGGAGGTAATTTCAGTTGAATTTCTAATTTGTTTTATGAACATATTAACTTTGGACTCTTTACCATGCTTGTTTTTATGGATCTTTGATTTTTTATGTAAACCAATTTGACCATGTGATTGAACCTGTACTTTTTCTACAGATCAAGGGAGAGATTGAGGAGTTTCTCAAAGTGGTTTTCACTCTGTTTCAAGGTATACAAAATATATCTACCAAGTTACCAAAACACTACTGGTTGGGCTTCTGTAATAAACTTTAGTAAAAGTTAGGGTTAAATTGTACCATTTTCCCTTATTTTATGTATTTATTTGCTTATCATTTGTGTTAGATCTGGATTTCACTTTCTTAGAGATGAATCCTTTCACATTGGTTGATGGAAAGCCTTATCCTTTGGATATGAGAGGCGAGCTAGATGACACTGCTGCTTTCAAGAACTTCAAGAAGTGGGTTCCCTCTAGTAAATGCCAAGTGTTATTTTCAAGGATAGAATACTACATTTCTATTTCATAATATAAAATTGATGGTATATTTTGCTGTTAATATTTTTAAATTAACATATATGGTTGAATTTGTTGTAGATGGGGAGACATTGAATTTCCACTGCCATTTGGAAGGGTTATGAGTGCTACCGAGTCTTTCATTCATGGATTAGATGAAAAGGTACACAAACGTAACTATGACTTGCATATACAATCTTATTGAATTAAGTTAAAACTATGTACATAAGATGTGTGTCTGAGTTTTGTGTGGGACATTGTAGGTAAATTCCTTTTTTCTTCTTACTAAGGATTGAACACTATAATTCTCTGGCTGGTTATAAAACCTGATGTTGAAATCCCACCTTGACTAGATATATAACTAAACTGTAGTATATAAGTGGGATGCAAACCTTGTCTTATAAATTGGTTTTATAGGATTGAGTTAAATTCATGACTGCATTTTAAGTCCTCTTAGATGAAAAGATGCACAAATGTTTGAGTTGCATGCACAATCTTATTCAATTTGTTAAAATTATGTCCATAAGATTTGTTTGAATGCAAACATAGTACATTTTTTATTTCCATTGTAAAAAAAACTATTACAATATCAATATTCTGAAATCTGCCTGGAGGATCTGGGAAAGTAAAAATGCTTTAGGTCATAGGGGGTGGGGTGTTTGAAATAGCTTTCAGGTGCAGTAATATATGAACTTTTGAAAATAACTTATGACTCCTATAAGCTCTTTTTAGCTTATTTTAAAATGTGTCTCGGTGAAGCATTACAAAATAAGCTTTTCACAGATTCAACAAGTATTATGGTCAAGTTTAATATAATCTATCATGTAATAAAAGGTTATCCTTCATGGTTCTCAATATCACTTGGTCTTAATCCTCGTACTTCTTGAACAGCAGTCATTGATAATGTATTGATAAGTGCACTAATACTATTGCTTTTAGTTATTAATGTGATAATTAATTTGCTTTCTTATTTAATATTGCAGACAAGTGCATCTTTAAAATTCACTGTGTTGAACCCAAAGGGCCGAATTTGGACAATGGTAGCTGGGGGAGGTGCTAGTGTCATCTATGCTGATACGGTGTGTTTCTCTATATTGAAACCAAATTCACAGCTAATTAATATCCATATTTGTAGCATTGAGTGACAACTTATGTCATATAATATTAACACAGGTAGGAGATCTTGGCTTTGCATCTGAGCTTGGAAACTATGCTGAATACAGTGGTGCTCCCAAAGAAGACGAAGTCTTACAGTATGCCAGAGTTGTAATTGATGTAATTAACATATATCCCTGCTTTATTTTTGGTCTAAATATCCATTTAGAGATTTAAAATTCGTGCTTACAAGATCAGACAATCCTTGTTTGAAGTGTCTAATTATATATAGCCTTTGATTTGCGTGGTAACTTTGAACCTGATACCATAGGCACTTTCTATTTATTATAATCTCCATTTTTCTTTCCAGTGTGCAACTGCAAACCCTGATGGCCAAAAGAGAGCTCTTGTGATAGGAGGAGGCATAGCCAACTTTACTGATGTTGCTGCTACATTTAGTGGTATAATTCGGGCACTGAAGGAGAAGGTAAGCCTTTGATTGTAGAGCTTGGTTCAGATGTTTGATGAGGTTCTTGTAGTTGGGTTAATTGAGTGTTGTTATTGCAATTCAGGAGTCAAAATTGAAAGCAGCAAGGATGAACATCTATGTCAGGAGAGGGGGACCCAACTACCAGAAGGGTCTAGCTTTAATGCGAGCACTTGGAGAGGAGATTGGCATTCCCATTGAGGTAACAAAACTCATTCCTTTCTTATTAACAGTATTGATGTTAGGAAAACTTCCCTCGAGGAACCTTCTAATCTTTTTGGATATCTATTTGTAGGTTTATGGACCTGAAGCCACAATGACTGGTATATGCAAAGAGGCAATACAATTCATTACTGCTTCTGCTTAAAGGTCAACACCATCTTCATTTAGTATTTTCATGATAGATTTGGAGTGAACTTGATTCTTAATTTTCTATTCCTGAAACATGGAAATTTAGTTAGATCATGAACTCAAGCCATCCGAGAAAGAGTGGTCATGAAATTTGGCACGATTTTTTTTTTTTTTATAAAATTGATGGCACCGTCCTGACATACAATAAAGTATTTTTGGTTTGACTGTTATAATTTTTGTTTTGATTTATCGACTTAAAACAAAATACAATACCAGGGTATATGTAAAACTTTAACCCTGACCTATCCTTAATACGAAAGACTTTAAATATTGTTGGAAAGTTAATTATGATTAAAAATTGAATGGGACCATATAAAACATATAAGGTCCCATATTATGTTGTAAGATTTGGTTCTGTCCCTGAATGAGTAACTACTACCTGTCCTAGTTCCAACATCCACCTGTCATAGTTCCAATATGCATCTGTCATGGTTCCAACATTCAACCAATATCATAATAATATTCCATATAAGATGAACTAATTTTCGGGCAGATCCATTGAAGAAAAATAATGGTTAGAGCATGATCAAAATTCAATTAATTAGTTAGATATTAATTGTGTTTCGGACTTAAATGTATCTATATCCACTACCTCTAACTAAAATAAAATGTTTCCTCCTCTTTAAGTCTAGTTGGAGATATTTATTATATAAAATATCATATCCAATATCATTAATTCTATCATTCATTATTCTAAAAAAAATGTCAGATCTAATGATATTTTCTAAAAAAAAAATGTGAGATCTAATGATATTTTCAAAGCGAGTTTTTATTCAGAATTTTGTTTAGGAATAAAATTAAATATTTTATTATAGGTTTTATAATTGAGTTGTTTAAAATTTAATAAACTAATAAATAACGGTTAATTATTAGATGATGCATAATTGGTAAAAGTCATTAAGATCTTGATTAAAAATATTCCTCCAAATCATACAAGTCCTAAATCTTCTAATTGTGTGTCAGATATTTTTTCTAAGAAAAGGAAGAGATATGTTTTGAATAGGTTCCTCCATTATAATTTATGGTGATTTTACTCAAAATTAATCTCAATTTTTAATAGCAAATTATAAATTCCTTCTGTTTTTTTTTTCTTTCAATAAATCCCTTAAATTCTGTTTTCTCTCTCACTCAAATATTTTATAGCTTTAGGATAATATATATATATATATATATATATATATATATATATATATATATATATATATATATATATATATATATGAAAGGTTTAGAAAAACTAAAATTGATAAAAAAAATCTTTTATATAATGTGAGATTAAGGTTTTAAAGATAGTTTTTTTTTTTAACTTTTGACTTTTGTAAAATATGTTTTTCATTGGTAGATTTTGAATGAAAGAATGCTTAAAATGATTTGAGAGTTTAATTCATAATTATTTTGATAAAAAAATGTAAATCACGATATTTGAAATAAAGAAAATTAGGAGAATAAATTGACTATCAATTGAAAACTTGAAACATTGAGTTGTAACAATTTTAAAAACTAGACAAAAATATAATTTATCAAAAACTTAATTTTTAAGATTTTTTTTTCATAAATCTCTTTTAGGAGAGAAAAATAAGAAAACAAAATAAATTAAGTTATCCATGATCTAAAATTAGTAAAAGTTATCTCATATATTGTTTAAAAAAAAAAAAATCAACTATTACATAAGCTAATATTTTTAGAAAATTAAATTCATTTTTTTGGGCTTATAGAAAAGTTCATTCTAACAGGCCTATTAACTGTAATTAAAAAAAAAAAGACAAATAACACAATTAAACCAGCAAAATTGAGTCATGAAGTCGACATCACAAGAGGGAGATAAAACACTATATGGACTTTGAGTAAAGTGAGCCCAATGGACCAGAAGAGTTTAAACAGATCCAGTAGCTCAAGATTGGGCTAAAGCGGGAGGCATATAAGTACCCCCCATATTCTCGTGACATAGGTAGGATTTAGTGTAACTTTTTTTTTTTTAAATAAATTCTTAAAACACATTTTCTAACGAAAATTTGAATAACATACTTTTTACGAAGTTTTGACTTTGATTTCATTAATTTCAAGTTTATATTATTTAAAGTTAAATTATGTTTTTCTCTTTCCAAAGCTGTTGGTTTGTTTAGTAGTTTGGATAATAGTACTGGAAGGACTAAAAGTAAAACATTTTAAAAATTAAAAAGTGAAATAAAAAATTATAGAAATTAAAATAAAACTTTACTTTTATTTAAGATACATTAATGTAAAAGCTTTAAGTCTAAAATTAAATAAATTATAATATTATTTAAAATTTAAATTTAAGGATGCATTTTTTTTATTTTAACTTAAATTCAAAATCATGTTTATAATGGAGAAAGGTAATATATGAAATAGTTAGTTCCAGTAAATTGAGTTTAATTCATTAAAAAAAAATTAACTTCAAATTTTATTGATAGAAAAAATTATATTGGGGAGAAACTTCTTACCAAATATTGAAAGTGGAATTATTTTTAAAAAACTAATAAAATAATTATTTAATAAATAATATAGTTAAAAAACGGAATAGTCCCTTGATGAATTGGTTATCTATAAATACAGTCATCATCTGATTTCTTGTCTTTTTTTTTTTTGTATGGAACATATATTGGATTAGGTTTAATCAATCTCAATAATTAATTTAATAAAAAAAATTGGATTAGGTTAGATCTTTGTATATTTATTCTATTAACTCAATCCTATCTAATTTATCTTTATTCGAATTCGATTGCATTGATTTAATTGGATTATAATTTAAAAAAAATATTTTTTTATTAAAATTTAAAATTTTTAAAATATTTCTTAAAAAATAATTATATTATTTAATATTTAATTAATTTTATGTTTTAAAAATATATTTAATTAATATAATAATTATATTATTATTATTTAATAATATTTTTAATAAATTAGATTGAGTTCGAGTTATCTTAAATTTATTGTTTAATTTGTAAGAGATTAAATTAGATTGAGTCCAATTCAACCAAATTACAGATAAAATTCAATCTATAATTATTTTTTTGTTTGGATGCCTAATCATGTAATTAATTGAGTGAATAGGATATCCCCTGTTGTTTCATATATTTATGTTGTAAATGCAACTTCATTATTATTTTATGTTCCAAAAGATAAAAACAGAACAATAGTATTCTCTTTTATCATTAATCTTTATCTGATAAGCGTGAATGAAAAGGCAAAGAAAAATGTAGGCATAAATTAGGTCAGAAAATCAATTCAATTTGTATTTAGACAGAGTCTGCAGGTTAATCAGTTCAATTGATCATGCTTTCCATTTAATCTGTTAGCTTCAATTTGATGAATTGTTACAAAATAATTTTCATGAATACATGTGACCTTTAAAAATTATCAGATTAGTTGAATTATAAATTAAGAAGATATTATTTCGTATTTCTTTCAACACTATATTTTCTTTTGCATTTTTTTCTTATAAAAAAAAACAATAATGCGTTTAGAAAATAATTTCTACGACATGAAAAAAATAAACAATGAAAATGACAATACAGCTATTGGCCTTATGTTTTTTTTTTAACATAATTGAAGATGTGACCAAAAGGATCCCCACCTTAATGGTCATATTTTATATTTAATCAGGGTTATCTCATTTGAAAAAATTAAATTAGGCTTTTTTTATTTACTAAACTAGTGGATTAGGATTAGGGTTTATTATTATTTATTTATATATTTTCATGAGCAAGATTTGAAGGAGGGGAAGAACTATTGGTTGGGTTAAGGGGACAGAAAGGGAACACAATCAATTACAATGCTTCTTATCATCTCTACCCACATTCATTCTGCTTAATCATTTTTCCACCTACCAATCATTTTTACAATATTTTATTTCAAAACATTCTATTGCTTAAATAAATAATATATTATCATTTTTAAGATTTTTTTAATACTTGTATAAAATACTATTATCATAAATAAAATTTTAATATATAAAGTAAACTTTTGTAGTAATATTTACCTGAATCAAGTACTGTGAGGGAGTGTGAGTTGTCACCGATAAGACAAAACATGGCTTGTGATTGTGGGCCCAATAATCGATGCTCCATTCATGGAATTAGGTTTATGTTTAAGTTGGTTTCTAAATAAACTTGTTATACAATAATAGCATGAATTCGTTTTTTTATTATACCTCGTTTTTTTATTATATTTATAGATTTTATTTATTTGGATAGCACAATTTTTTTTAAATTGATAATTCAATTTTATGGAATACGAAACCTAGACGTAATTGTATTTTATAATTTTTTTAAACAACTTAGAATTCAATTTTCCGACAATCGAATTTTGAATAGTTTTCTTTTTATTTTATTAAAAAAAAAACTAACTAATATATATATAAAATATGTTATAATATTTTATTTAACATTTATAGTTTTAAATTAGGTATTTAAAAATATTTGTATATTTCTAAAATTAATAATATATTTAGATTTATTGTTGAAAGTAGTAAAATAATATTTTTAAAATATATTATTAAATATTATATTTAAATTTATTTGTATGATTAAACTTTTTTTAATTTTTTGATTTATTTGATATTATAATTTTTTTAGAAATTAATAATAAATTAGGAGGATAATAAAAATCTTAAAAATTATATGTATATAAGAAGAAATAATATTTTGATGTAAAATTATATATATATATATATATATATATATATTTTCTAAAATATAATTTATATTAATTACTATAATATAAAATATATATTCCAAAATATAATTTATTTTCATTTATATATATATATATTATATAAATTAAAATAAATTATATTTTAGAATATATATATATATATAATTAATTTATAAGAGCGATTAACATTTATTCTAATTTATTCTAATTAATTATTCATATATGTGTCACTTTTAAGAGCGGTTAACATTTTAACCGCTCTTAAAAGTGAACATATAATAG